TTTGTTTATTATGGAAGGTTTTAATTTCTACTTCAAATATGAAATATAGCTTTGCTAGATATTACCACCAAGATTGGCAGCTATTTTTATGTCAGGGTATGAATCATTTCTTTTTTTTTTCATTTTTCTTTTATTATTCATATGTGCATACAAGGCTTGGTTCATTTCTCCCCCCTGACCCCACCCCCTCCCTGACCACACACTCTGCCCCCTCCCTCTCCCCCCCCAATACCCAGCAGAAACTATTTTGCCCCTATTTCTAATTTTGTTGTAGAGAGAGTATAAGCAATAATAGGAAGGAACAAGGGTTTTTGCTGGTTGAGATAAGGATAGCTATACAGGGCATTGACTCACATTGATTTCCTGTGCGTGGATGTTACCTTCTAGGTTAATTCTTTTTGATCTAACCTTTTCTCTAGTACCTGTTCCCCTTTTCCTATTGGCCTCAGTTGCTTTAAGGTATCTGCTTTAGTTTCTCTGCGTTAAGGGCAACAAATGCTAGCTAGTTTTTTAGGTGTCTTACCTATCCTCACCCCTTCCTTGTGTGCTCTCGCTTTTATCATGTGCGGTATGAATCATTTCATTTGCTCCTTTCTTTTAGAGTTTCTGCTGAGTAATCTGCTGTTATTCTGATGTAGGTTACTTGGTGTTTCTCTCTTGCAGCTTTCAATATTCTTTCCTTATTCTGTATGCCTAATATTTTCACTGTAATATGATTGCAGTGTTATTTTGTAGTCTTTTCTCTTTGGATTCCTAAAGGTAGATTCCGCTTGTTCCACAAGTGTCCCAGTTTGTATCCCCAGAAGCAACAAACATATAATATGATGGTTTTTCCTCAAATGGAAGGGAGAATGAGGATTGGCAAACAGAGCATGAGTTCTGCACTTCCTTAAGGAGAACAGAAGGAATGTTCCCTGCTGATGTCAGTGCTTGCAGACTCTGCCCTGGAGTTGATCTTCCACAGAGTGGGGAAGGGTGGCTTGGAGGGAAGTGGTCAAAATCATGTGATTTGCTGGTCTGGGCTTGGATCTCTCAGACCTGCCTGGTAGCAAACACATGTAGATATGTGATTCCCAGAAGTATGTCTGTGTGATTTCAGGCTCTGTCCTGCAGTTCACTTTCTGATGTGTGCTGAAAGCCTGTGAAAATTATGTGATTTGGGTAGTCTGAACACAGAGTTGTTGGCCCCATCTGGTAACCAACACACTTAGCCAGGGGGCTGGTCCTGAGGGTGTTTCTAATTCACCATCTTGCCCAACCTCCCTAGCAGATAATTTTCTAAACCACCAAAAAGTGAAGACAAAGAGTACAGGTTAGGTATCCTATGTAAATGATGCGTCTATGTGTCTGTGTGCTTTAAGTTGACCAGTACTTTTGTGATTACACAAATGTGAGTGAAGAACAGATTGGAATGAAAACAGTATTTGGGGTATGGATGTGAGGATGAGAGCTGATGTGGAGGAGGATGAGCAGGTCCCCCAGGATGGTGACTATGTATATTGACTGCAACTACTGAAGAGGAAGGACTACAGTTCTGGGTCATCTGTCAGATCCAGGAGGAGGAATTCTGCAATAGCTGTCTTGTTTCGAGCTTCCATGTTGTCAATAATATTGGGGAACAGATGAAGTGAAAAGATAATAAAATGTCTGGATAGCAACACCTGGGAAGGTGTTAGAGATTCAAACTCTTGGTCACCACTCTAGACTTACTGCTCATACTCTCTGGCGATGAGTAGTAGAAGTCTATTCTTTCAGTTTTTTGCAAATAAATGTTCTTTATTAGAGAAAAATAAATGTTAAACTTAAAAACTGTATGTTGTTACATTGCATATGCAATAAGAGAAAGATGACTGCAGTGCTTAGTGTAGCTTTGCAATCACGAGTGCAAAAAACATGAAATACAAAGCAATACAATAATTGCAATTCAGAAAATTTAAATTAAAGAGCAAAAGGCAATGGTTAAAACAGTCATTGGACATTTCATTGTATTGCTATAAAAACTTGCTCAGCATTTTCTTTATACTTTTAATACTTTAAAATGATATTGAGCATATGATAAGTGTGGCAAAGCCATCCCCTACAGAAAAGCACATTATGCTACTGTTTGCTTCTCTACCTGCACAATATTGCACAAAGTTGGAAAATGTTGATTTAGTTTGTCATTATAATTTTCATTTCCCCAGAATGGCTAAAAATGTGCCAGCTTCATTAGCTTTAGCAGGCTGCATTCTACCCTTTAAAAAGCCCTCCAGATAGTTTTACTGCATGCTGAATTTTGAGAAGTAGTTCATTAAAAACAAAAACTCATTATCTGGTAGAGATGAATCAACTTGGGTTGTAATACACTTTTGCATGGAAGCAAGGATAGGAATCTCCCTGTGTAGCTATCCTTATCTCAACTAGTGAAAACACTTTGTCTTTCTTATTATTGCTTATGTCTTCTCTTCAACAAAATTGGAGAAAGGGGCAGAACAGGTTCTGCCTGGAAGCAAAGGGGATGGGGGAAAGAGGGGGCTGGGGAAGTAGGGGGGAGAAATGGCCCAAACAGTGTATGCATAAATGAATAAATGCATAAATAAAAAAATTATATGCAAAAGTTTTCTCAGCTACGTTCCACTTCCATCCCTACTTGTTCACCCCTTTCCTCTCATCAATCTTTATTAAAACCTTTTTTGAATATTCACTCTCTTTCATGTGTTGTGCTAAGTGCTGAGAATTCAAAAGTATATGACATAGATTTTCAATTAGAATTATTAGATATGTTTTCAAAAACAAAAAGACAAGGATGACTTCATGAAATCTGTCCTCAAAAACAGTGGTTCACCAATTTTGCCTTCTCTCAAGATCACTGAATACCTTATCAAATTATAGGCATGGTCATTAATACCTCCCTAAATACTCACAAAAACACTTAGGTAAAATGAAGTTATATCATGGAAGTGAAATAAACAGTGTAATGTCTCAGATTGTTTGACAGAGGAGTTGACTCTCTGGCCAATTTTGTTAATGAACCTTGATAACACAGAATAAGTATCCCTAAATAACCACTAACCTCTTATAACATACCTTTGTAACTCTATTTTCTCCTTAACAAACGTTTATTATTTCCCTTGTTTCAATGTTCACCACTATCATGAAATTAATTACATAAGGAGGATGACATCTGTCCAGTGGACACGAGCAATGAGCAATTCAATTTCATCAGACTCTCCCATGGAGATGTTCTAAGTAGGACATAGGATGGGAAAGAGACATTCTCCAAATACAAGCATCCAGACTACCTCTGCAGAAGAGGGATGATTTGAAAAGTTGACAAGAGAGAAAAAGGACATGGGGCAAAATGTGCTTGCACATTTTATAGCTGTGAAGTTTGGGAGAATTAATGTACTCAATCATTACAAGTGTCATTAGAAGGAGCACAGAGATGAAGAGTGTGATATTCTTGTATAAGATTATCTTAAGACATAGTTGAATAAATACATTTAACTATGACAAATTCCTTGTCTCTAACTTCATTCAGGAAAGCTATACCTTTGTAGTCAATAGTTGGACAACCCAAGGATACAGATATCTTTCCTTTTCACCAGAGGTATGAAAGAGAATAGTCATTTTTGTTATTAAATTCATCAATATCAGAAAGACTATCAATTTTTGATTGTCACCACACATTCCATAAAATAGAAAGCACTGGAAATAAATGAATAGGTGTTAAATCCAAAACCATTATGAAATCTCAGAAGTGAAAAGATTCAAACACAGATACAAAATACATTCACTAACTTAAAAATATATCAAAATCAAAAAGAAGCAAATTGATGTCACAAATTTGACACCTCAAATATACAAAAGATTGATTTACAATGCTTTAATTCCTATAAAATTATTTTTAGACAAATATATACAATACTGACAAAAATGTGATTGAATTAATCCAGTCTCCTTCTCTATAGTATAAGGAAATGAAATTATATTAGAGACCACCAAGATAAACTTGAATAAATTTATTCTATTCAAAGACCCCTTTAGTTCATATGCATAATTTAACCTCTTATGGAAAGTGATATCACAAGTAAAGGGTATTAAGAACTATCCTTTAGTGAGTTACCAGTCAAATAATGATAGATATTTTCTCTGTGACTTCTAGGACATATCTATGATAATGAAACAAGGTGAGCACTCAGTTTACTGTCTCTAGCATCATGTGTGGGTATGACACTTGCATGTGTTGCAGACACCTGGGGACTCTGAGGAATAAAAATCCTTTGAAGAGGCCATCTCATGTAGCACTTGATGAAGCACAATTTCCTGAAATTATGCAATCTTAAGTTCTTAAGTCCCTGTGATGGACAAAAAGTCTATTTCTTTTATCAGTAGATTTGAGTTACAGTGTTTTTAAAACCACCTGCACCATTTTCTAAAAATGTACATTCATTAAAAAGCCATCGCAGGCCAATGACAAATCTAATTATGTGAGTTTTAGAAATAATGAAACTGAGCAGGGAAGATGCTAACATGACTTTATAAAGATGTCATAGTTCACCATCTCAGTAATTGTCTGAGAAAGCAGGGTCAGTTCACTTGCATCACAGTAGGTCATTTGTGTGATACCACCTAGCTAGGCCCAATCACAGAAAGAGGCTGAATCTACTCTGTAGACATGAACTTGAAATTGCTTTAAAACCTCACTGCTCTGTCCACCTTATACAAGTTTGTTCCTTCAAAAACAGTTCCATGAGATTTTGATAAAAACAAATGCCCTGATTCATGTTCCACCTCAACAGAAGAGCAGCACAATGGAACACAGAGACAGAAATCATTTGAGAAATATCACACAGCTATGCAAAAGAGAAGTCAGATTTAAAACCCAGGTTGAAATGTAAGTGGACATCAGATAATCTGGTCATTTCTTGGAATAACCTGGGCTGAAGGGATCAGGTATTGTAGCTATATTTCTGTCACTCTAACTCATCCTGGAAACCAAGCACATAAAGATGACACAGTCATAGAAAATAAGGCATCCCAACAATAAGATGCCTCAAGGCCTCCTTCATTTCCTTGTTTCTTAAACTGTAGACAAAAGGGTTCAGCATTTGAGGGACCACAATATACATAATTGAAGCCATAACATTTTCAGTGGAGGAGTCACTAACCTCAGAGCTCATGTACACTCCAATACCTGTCCCATAGAACAAGGTCACCACTGAGAGGTGAGAACCACAGGTAGAAAAGGCTTTATATCTCCCTCTGACTGTTGGGATCCTCAAAACAGAGGAGACAATTTGAGAATATGAGAAAATAATCCCTGATAAAGGAATACCAGCAAATAGACTAGTCCCCGAATACACAAGGATGTTATTAATGAAGGTATCAGAACAAGAGAGCCTGGTGACCTGAACAAGTTCACAGAAGAAGTGGGAGATTTCTCTGTCTGTGCAAAAAGACAACCGTAGCATCATCAGACTGTGGAGTAATGCATTCAAAGTAGTAATGAGTAGGCAGAGTAGAATGAGCAGGACACAGAAGCGAGGGTTCATGATGACCACGTACCTCAGAGGCTGACAAATTGCCACATAGCGATCATAGGCCATCACTGCAAGGAGACAGTTTTCTAAGCCACCAAAAATCAGGACAAAACAGACCTGGGAGAGGCATCCTATGTATGTGATGCTCTGAGTTTGGGCTTGGATGTTCACCAGCATCTTTGGGATTGTGGTGGTGCTTATGCAGATGTCAGTGAAGGACAGACTGGAGAGGAAAAAGTACATGGGGGTATGGAGGTGTGAGTCAGAGCTGACAGCTAGGATGATAAGAAGGTTTCCCAGGATAGTGACCAGATAGATGGACAGGAAGAGAACGAAGATGAGGGGCTGCAGCTCTGGATCATCTCTGAGTCCCATAAGAAGAAATTCTGAAATGTCTGTTTGGTTTGTGGGTTCCATATTAGTGTGGAATCTTATGGAAAAGATGGAGCAAAGAAAATAAAGTCAATGTTTTCAAAATACACAATGGCAGCATTGCATGGGGATGTAGTAGAAATGAAAAATGTTATACCATTTTGTCCTTTGATCAGCTCTAGGGATGATGGAAATCTGTCATTTTTTGGGTGGTACTTAAGTTTGAACTTGAAAGTTTGTGCTTGCTAGGCAGGCACTCTACAATTTGAGCCACTCCACCAGCATTTTTTGCTTTAGTTCTTTTTCAAATAGGATTTAGTGTTTATATCTGTGCTTGTTTGGGCGACAATCCTGTTTGCATGCTACCACATCCAGCTTTTTATTGGTTTAAATGTAGTCTATTTACCTTTTTTGCCCAGGCTGGCTTTGAATTCTGATCCTTTCAACTCTGCCCTCTGAGTTGCTAGGATTACAGGTTGTACCACCAGCTAGAAATGTACCTTTTAATAAATACTACTGGTGTATTTCCTATCTCTAAAATTTGAGACTTTAAAAACTGATTTTTCTCTTATTTATACTGTGAACCACATGAATCTCCAAATCTTTGCTTACATCCTCCCTCCATTCATCTTATTTATTCTTCCTCTAACTTCTATTCTCATTATTCAACATCAGCATATTGGAACTTGTGGCAAATCATGTGATTCTAACAATATCTAGGGCATGGATTTTCCTTCCAGATTAGTCCATATCTCCAAAGAAGATGAAGGAGTAAAAGGAACTTATCAAACCTATCTTCTAAAACAATAGTCTCCAACATTATTTTATCTCATAACAAACTGGAGTGTTCACAAAATTGCAGATTAATTGGTTTATATTATCAACTTCATCAACCCACTAAGATCTAACAGGAACATAAAATATAGTTGATAGAGAGCAGGTCAGAGCTCTGATCACCTAACTTCTTTGCTTCCTTGATTTTTATTAGTATATATTCATTGGATAGAGGTGATTCATTGTGATAATTTTGCATAGGCTTACTTTACATTGGTTAGATAATCCCTACCATATTGACCCCTCACCCCCTTCCTGCCCTACTTAAAGCCATTGCAAGAGGTTTCATTGCTCTATTTCATATATGTATATTCATATGCAGCCCATCAACCATAGTCCCTCATTCTTTCATTTCCTTCACTCACCCTCCCTCCTCCTACAAATTCCCCCCTCACTGTTCCCATTCTATAATTTTATAATCCTATGTTTTATTATTAATTGCTGAGTTAGTGCTCAAAGGGGTTTCTCAATGTATCTCTGCTGTATCTCTGCTCTGACTTTACTTTGATCAGTTCAATCCATTTAATTATTCTCCCTTACCACTTTCCTCACACTTCCCATTATTCAACATCATCCAATACATAATGTTATATCTTCTAACTGCTCAGATGTAATATATTTTGCTATTATTGACACCCTTATCATTCTCTTTCTTTTCCCTTTTCCCCCAAGTTCCATAGAGTAGCTCCACTATTTCAAGCTTGTTCTACATAATAAGTTTGTGCACTATCATGTTTGTTTTGTGTATATGTCTCTCTTTTGTATCTATCTTCCACATATGAGAGAAAACATGTGACCTTTGTATTTCTCAATTTGAATTGTGTCCATTTACCTTCAAACACATTGAACACCTAACTTCTGAGTCTACTCTTTTATCAACTCCAGAGCCCATAATTTTATTTCTGAATGATTGTGAAAGTGTCACAATTCTGCTTTACAATAGGTTCTTCTTTAACATAGTACCAAGGTTTTCCTTGATATTTAGGTAGGTCTACTTCAACCCATTAAGTTAATTAAACAGGTGGAGAGCATCCATCCAGTTAACTGTGAGGGAACTCTACAAAGCCTAACTATGAGCTTGAACCTCATGAGAGTCTCCCTCGGAAACAATCTGCTTTAGCAATTAATTCTAAGACAAGCTAGGTAACAATATAGATGACATTCTCTCTCTCATCGTAAAGGAATTCTCTTTAATGAGGTAATTGGTACATCATTAAATATAATAAATACCAGGAAAATAGCTAAATGAAATAAAGAATTAAATGTAGTGCTCCTATGAAACTATATAGAAATTAAAACAATTTGGGGGTTTTCAGAAGAGAGACTTATTAGATAACTCGGACTGATATAATCAGGGGCACTACTCGCGGATGTCCCTGAGGGCAGTGTTCTACAGTGAAGAATGAAAACATGTGCTAGCAATTGTCATATTACTCTCACTAACCTTGAATTCAGTCCAGGCTCCTTCATTAGTTTTATGAATGTGGAAAATCTTCAACTGGAAGAGAAGCCTGGGGAAAACCCGGTGGTTGTCTTAATTAGCTGTGGTGTGAGACTCATTTCATGAACTGTACTTCTCCAACTATCATATTGTATACCATAAAACTTTAAAATGTGTGTGCAACTGCAGCTGAATAAAGATGGGTGAGACCTAATGGAGATGTCACAATTATGAGAAATGGAAAATAATAAGCAGCCAGCACAGTTCTGGGCATGTGGGATCCTTGTTCTGATATTGCCTGTCATCTGTGAATGTGTTTTGTGTGTGTGTCTGTGTGTGTGTGTGTGTGTGTGAAAGAGAGAGAGGGAGAGGTGAGACAAAGTGAGCAAGAAAGGCATGCATGTGAGAGTGACAGAGAATGAAATAGGTGTGTATAAGTAAGAGAGACATCTATCTCTGTGAGTGTTCAAGAAAGATGTATGTGTTTTTCTGTGTGTTTGAGAGGTGTGTGTGTGTGTGTGAGAGAGAGAGAAACAGGTGTGTGGATGTGTGTGTATGTCAGAGAGAGGCATGTAAGCATCAGGTGGGAAAGGTGTGTGTGTAAGAGAGAGAGAGAAAAAGAGAGGCTGACAAAAGAGAGATAAATGTGTGAGTGAGAGGGAAAGCATATCAGTGTGTGTGTGTGTGTGTGTGTGTGTGTGTGTGTCTTCCATGAGTGAGAATATGTAGCAGTTTTTATCACCGAGAAGGAAGTGATAGGTTGGGGATGTTGAGTCAAGGGGGAAAAGAGAATGTTTTCAGCTTGATAGATGTAAGCTAAGGGAAGAATTTCTGTCATGACATGACTTCTGGCATTTTGGTTATATTGTTTGGCTTGGACATGAATATTATATATGCCAATTAAATTAATTAAATAATACCAAATTAGACAATGCTACACAAAAATTATAAATATCTACTTTAGAAAATATACTGTATGAAAAATTTCTATACAGTGAGAAAATTTGAAGTATATTTGAAGGTGCATAGGTAAGTATATTTTTGTTATGGATTTTGCATGCATAATAGACAATACAGATAATAAAGAATGACTGGCTATGCAGGAGTCAACAGAAAAACATTCATATACTTTACCCTTCTTGCTGTAGTTACTCTTATTGCAAAAAATAACTCAGGCATATTTTAAGCTCCACACCCCCTGGAAAATTTCCTTCCTAGGGAAAATGACCACACTATTGAGGTATACATTATTCTCTCACAATTATATTGTATTTAGTACTATTCTTCTAAATAGCAAATATGTTTTACTTTAAACATTTTATATGGGCAGAACCTGACTACATAACATTTAAAAATTGGTATTCTTAGTCTGAAGTTTGATTAATTTTGACATATTAGTCTTCCTTCATTGATGGTAACTACCACAATACTGCACCATCCTGTCAAAAACACTGTCAAAAGTTTTCCCTAACTTATGGCTATTGCCTTTTAGATATAGATCTATGCATGGGAGAGAGAAACACATTCATGATAGCCTGTCTTTGGGAGGAGAAGTAGTGTGGAAGGGGATAACATAGTGGTGAATTCAGTATCTTCATTATTTTATCACTTCATTAAAAATAGCTGAACAGAGCAAAATGATATCATTGACTAATTGTGTAAAGAGGGAGGTGTGGCTATGTGTAGTTATTGATTTTAATTACACTATCTGTGCTGCTCTTGTTTAAAATATTTGGTAGTTCTAGGAAGCAAAATATGAGATGAGAAAATTGTGAGGTGAAGCTTTCTATATATCCACATCCTTACCCAGAGTCACAGCAATAGCACAAAAGTTGTTCAATGATTAATCAATCACCAAGGAGAATAAGACAAAAATGGGCTGAAATGTGTAAACCACAGAGTTTATATTGAAATCTCAAACCTCAATAACTCAGAACATGACAGTATTTGGAGGTGTTCTTTGAAACGATAATCAAGTTAGAAAGTGGTCATTTGTATAAGCCCTCATCCAATATGATCAGTGTCTTTATAGAAAGACACTAGGATATAGACCCCCAGGGAAGCAAGACCACACAAAACTATTACAAGCAATGGAGAAATGCCTCAGAAGAAACCAACCCTGATGAAATTTGATGTTTGAAATACTACTTGCACCTATGAGAAAATAAATTTCAATTTTACAACACCTAGTTTGTAGTGGTTTGCTATGGATTATGTAGAAAAGTAATACAATGATCAAAACCCCCACTCAACACCACCACAAGAACTCAAGTGAACATCAACATATTTGAAAATGGTCATGCTTGGGTTAGGACAGCTGCCTTCTTTGATAGAAATATGTTCTGTTCTTGAAGAGAGAATGAGGCCAGTACTCTGGGTGAGCATTGATGCCAATGCACATAAGAAGTTGTCAAGAGGATAACACATCGTTAATAGGAGAGGAATTTGGATTTCTTCCTTATAATCTAATGAATGTTGTCTCCTGCTGCCTCCTCGGGATGAAATTGTCATAAAATACCTGCCCCATTTCCAAAGCATTTAATTAGGAATTATCCATTACCTGGATGACTTCACTGACAATGGTAGTCTGCATCTCACCTAGATGTTGAAGACAGAAGCTTTGTTCTCAGGGCACGTACCCGTACACAGAGTCTTTGTCAGGAAGGATCATATCTGGGTGGAGGCTCAGGTTTTGATTCCAGACTGGTCAGAGCTGTTGAGAGAGGGAGGCAAATGCCAACTCCTATGGCCTCTGAATCCCTGATACACAATATCCAAAGCTCCTCATTAG